TATGGTATAGTTTTTATTGAAATTTTTCCAGTCTCTCAGACAACGGCGAATGGTAATCAAATTTATTCAATCATATACTCAAAATCAGCTCACCGAAATCCCCGGATGGATGAACCACTTGTTGCATAATATTTCTGCCAAGGAACAGAAATTTTACGTGAATATTGACTAAACTATGACGGTGAAAAGAAAAACACAAAACAACGTGTATACGTTGAAAAACTGAAGCAATTGATACTTATTATATCATAATGGTTCATAATGAAATGATAATAATAATCATTTATCACCCACAGCATTGATGAATGTTTGACTAGAAATGATTTTTTCTAATCCTTAAAAATCTGCCAAATCCATTTCACTACCAAAAAACAATCCTGATAATTCTAATTGTCTCGGATCAATAAGTATTCTATCTTCGTTCTCGAAAGTAATTGAAAAATAATGAACATTCAAATTAGACAGCACCTTGTTGGGAATTATATTTCACCCCTCGGAAAAACTACACTCAGGACCGGATATACTTATAGTGAACCATACTTGCAGATTTTCCTAATGCATTCAATATGATGAATCACTTGGTTTTGTGAGCTCTATTATATTTTTTGGATATGCTGAACCATGGAATCATATAATCGTTGTTCAACTTATAATGCGGAACAGAAACAATACTTTTCAGTTATACCGGATACCTTGAATAATCTCGAAGATTCAAAAAATAATTTCATTTCATCAGTGAATCAGATAGCAAATGACCCTCCAAATGAAGTCATCGATTTTTATGATTCTAATAAATTTAATAATACTGCGACTTTAAGTCTTGATAACGTCAAAGATCAACAAGTGGAAATGAAATCAAATGCGGTAGGAAGCGACGGCATATCCCTTAAAATGTTACTATTGTGCATTCCCTATATCACACCCATTTTAACTTTCATTGTTAACAAATGTATAGAAAATGGAATTTATCCCAATATTTGGAAAAAATCGCTTGTACTTCCTATCAATAAAATATCCAAATCGAAAACATTCAATGACTTGAGACCTAACAATATTTTACCGTCACTCTCAAAAGTAATCGAAAAAGCAGTTTATGAACAGTCATCACGCAGTCTGGCTTAAGACAAAATTATGGTACCACAAGTGCTCTTTCTAATGTTACCGATGGTATTATACATTTATATGATAACAATGAAGTAACTCTTTTACTTCATCAGAAAGCATTTGATAGTAAAGCATGGTTCATAGTGCAAAACTTTGTTATTACAGATTCGATGAGAAAAGTCGATCTTTTTTAAAATCTTTCCTCAGTAATAGCGTGTTCTCATCAATAATAATTCATCCTCAGAACTGAACGTAATACATGGGGCACCTCAAGGCCCTATACCTGCACCTATGCTATTTATTATTTACACTTCTGATTTTTCCAAAATACTGAAGAATTTTCTTATGCATACCTATGCTGATGACACCAATCTGATTTTTTCCGCGAAAATTGATGAATTTTTATCCGTTGAACACTTTTTGAATAATGATACAGATGACCTATTGAAAATATCAAGAAATCAATGTTTGAACATCAACCCAAATAAATCATCAGCTATAATTTTTGGTAATAAGAGAGACCGGAGGAGGGCCATAGATAATTCCTCAATTTCTATCAATAATCACAAATTGGATTATAGCGATAAAATAAAATGCTTGGGGTTGACATTAGATTGCAATCTGAGATTCATTAGCCATATTAACTCTTTGATTCTGAGAGCATATGGTTTACTAAAACATCTATACCCACACAGACACTACTTGACTGAACATGTGAAAATTCAACTATGTGATACACTTATTTTATCAATTTTCAACTACGGTGATATTGTCTATAGCCCGTGCCTTGATCAAGAAACTCCTTCCAGGATCCAAAAAGTTCAGAATACCTGTGTCCGATTAATATTCTCGCTAAAACGAAGAGATCATGTAACAACATTTTTAAACAATCTTGGGTGGCTGAAAATGTTAAATAGAAGGAAACACCACCTTGTATGCTTCGTTTATAAGTTATTGAGAAACCAATGTTCAGACTACCTCCACTCCAAAATTACTCCACATCACCAGTACCACTCTAGAAACCTTCGTAACATCAATATGATTACCCTCCCGCATCACTCTCTATCTTTTTTTGAACGTTCTTTCTCTTATAGTGCTGTAACCGAGTACAACTCATATCCTGACGAATTGAAATCACTATCTTTTTCTGCGTTTAAAAATAAAACGAAAGCCACCCTTTTCGGTAAACAATGAATCTGCCTGAATTGAATCAAACTAAACCTAAATTAATTATCTGATACATTTCACATCTTTTTTTTTTAAATCAATTCACCTTTATATACTTTTGTCATATGATGTTAAAAACTAGATTAGGTCCTAGTTTTAAGTTATGCTACTGTATCACTATTAATACACTCTTGTATAAATATATTCTTGGTTGAGTGGTAGAGTAGCGCAAGCTAAACTCAATATTCATTCACACAATATATAATTTCATTCACACAATATAAATTACAATCTATAAATAACAATATCGTGACTTCACAGCGTATATTGTAAATGATATTAACTACAAGATAAAAAAATTTTAATTTCAAGAAAATTTGGTTTCAATTGATCTTCATCTTTCCAGCTCTACAATTCACCGAAAAATTGAGTTGAAACCAAAAAAAAAAAAGAAAATTCCCTAATTATATGTGTAATCGAATTTTTGAATGAGCGAAGCTTCTAAATTCTAAAAGACTTTTTTTTCTAACGGTTTTTTTTTAAATCATCAGATTTTCAGGTAGAACCGAAAAAAAAATGACTGAAAATGAAGCAACCACCTTCAAACAAACGTAGAGTACCCGGTACGGACCCGAAACTAATATACATACAATGATTTTCTACAAATATTTAAATTCTTTATAAGTTTTCACTGATAAATTAACATATTTGAAGAGCCCCAGTATTTTTATTTATTATTTTCATTATCCGATATACCAGTAATCACAGTTGATGATTGTAAGGCCGAGAAAATAGGTTTATGGAATGAGCAATGATATACATATGTTTTTGAATGAAAATGAGAAAGATATTCAGAGAAAAATGCATTGATTGTTGTTCTACGTCTTGTGGTAGGCCATTTTGATCATCATCCATTTGTAGTTCTGATTTATCTTGTAGAAAGTTTTCCAAGAGATGTCCATCTTTGGACGTGGAATTAACATTGAAATCTCCTGCTAAAGTTAGTGGCTACGTGTGATGATTTTCTCCTCTCACACCTCTCTTGGTATTATACGAAACGTAACTCTCTCTATCTTTTAATCTTCACTAACTTATACATTCCTGTCAACTTCCGTTCGCCTCACAGTTCGTAACGCTCTCGTCACGCATTCACCAGCTTACTCCCCAAGTCAAGCGCGCGAAAAGAAGTTTCACTTCAACGTTCGCCTCGCCCGATCACACTTTCCGTAACGCTATCGTCACGCATTCACGGAATTTCTTCCTGACGTTTCGCTGGGGCGGGTTACTAGCTTCTTCAGAGGTTCATACATTTCGAGATTATCTCCGATGACTGAGTATATCGACTGCGTGAAGCATATTAATGGTGATTCAGGTAGTTTGTTGTTGTGCTAGTTCCTGTACCTGGATTAGATGAATTCTCAATAACATTCGTTGACCCATGATGTTTGTCATTCTTGAACGATTCCATATTCGGTTGAAGTTCACAGATTCTTGTTTACTGTTGAAATTATCCGTGTGTTTGTGGATCTCTAATACCTCTCGTACCAGTCGGCTATCCCTGTTTGCGGGCAATAAGTTTCGCGTTTTCGAACAAAATCCTGTCGTTTCCTTCACTGAGTGCGTGTTCCGCCACAGCCGACTTGTATCCATTTGGTCTCAAGGTCACATCCAACCAATGTGTAACGAATAGAATTCATAGTACTCCCATCGTGTTCTTCACAAATTTCCATATACTATGTACCTATGGAATTCCACAATGTTAATATGTGATGAAAATCGAAAGTCATATTTTCTTCACAAACGAACCAATCTCGCATCAAACTGGTATATTTCCATCATTGGACTGGACCTCGTCTCAAAATAGTTTTTGTCAAGCAATGATAAATTTCAATCAATACTTATAATTTTTCCTCATTTTAATATATTGAAAATACATTTCAAATATAAAAGTTTTCAAATACTTCTTCATCTCTTCTCTAAGTATATATAACTCAAAGATGACTGACTGACTGACATAGTGATCTATCAACGCACAGCCCAAACCACTGGACGGATCGGGCTGAAATTTGCCATGCAGGTAGATGTTATGACGTAGGCATCCGCTAAGAAATGATTTTGATCAATTCTACCCCCAAGGGAATAAAATAGGGGATGAAATTTTGTATGAAACTTTGTCAATTTCAAACCGATCGGGCTGAGACTTGGCATGCATAAAGCTACTATCACGTAGACATCCCCTAAGAAAGGATTTTGATAAATTCCACTCCTAAGGGGATAGAGTAAGGGATGATGGAGGATGTGAATGTATTAGTTTGAACATATCAGTACCTAATGGAACGAATACATTGAAAGAACAAAACAATTTTCAGTTCTAAATGTTGATAATAGATGGCGTTAGTAGTATTTCCAAACGCGCTATCGTTGTGTTTTCACTGAGTTATATATACCCGACGATGAGTGACCGCCGTATCTGAGCTTTTTGTTATCATTTTATTGTTCTGCCAGGTTTCCGACCCCCTATGTCTTTGGGAAAAATCCAAAGAATACCTTCATGAAGACTTTAAAAAACAACTGGAAAGACAAGGTGACGTGGATGTAGAGCACTCATCGGACCTGCTATTTAACAAATGCCTGTCGATATTAGAGGATGCCGTATTATCATTAGGCGGCCGTTCTCTCAAAGGGTATGGATTACCTCAGCCAAAAACATCAATACATTTTGAAAATAGAGAGTACGTGAAGGAGACCAGTACGTGAAGGAGTCAGTGGCCTTAGAAGACGCAGTAAGAAAAAAAGAAGCATCCTTGAATTACGAGCAACTGGAAGTTTACAATAAAATTATCACAAGTGTAGATGCAAATGACCGTCGAATATTCTTCTTAGACGCTCCAGGTGGAACTGGTAAAACCTTCCTTATTAATTTACTTTTGGCGAAAGTAAGTACTCACGGCATTGCCCTGGCTGTGGCGTCGTCCCTCATAGCTGCTACATTACTTGAAGGTGGTCAAACTGCTCATGATACTTTTAAGTTACCACTTAATTTAATCACTGCCGAGACTCCCATTTGCAACATCTCCAAACAAAGTAATTTTGCTGAAGTTTTAGAAAGTACAAAAATAATCGTGTGGGACGAAATAACGATGGCTCATACAGGTGGTATTGAAGCTTTAAACAGATCACTGAGGGATATAAGGGGTAATGCAAAATTAATGGGTGGCGTAACAGTTTTGCTGGCCGGAGACTTTCGGCAGACTCTATCAGTGGTGGCAAAAGGAACCAGAGCTGACGAAGTGAAGTCGTGCATTAAAAAATCTAATTTGTGGCCCCAGGTTAATATTCTTGAGCTCTCTAAAAATATGAGAGCACATTTGGGCGGGGATGAGTCTGCTGGTAGATCTTCTTAAAATCGGTAATGGTGATTTTCCATCGTTTGATGGAATGATAACCATCTCGGAAGAATTGTGCACAGTTGTCACTACGGTTCAAAAATTGCTGTCTAAAGTTTATCCAGACATTATTCATATACATGACAAGCCTATTGAATGGTTATGTGAGCGTGCCATACTTACTCGAAAGAACGATCAAGCAGCAGCTATCAACGATATCCTGCTCATGTCATTTGAGGGCGAAGAAAAGGTCTATACTTCAATTGATACTGTGGTTATTACAGATGACGCTACGAATTACCCTGTAGAATTTTTAAATCATTTGAAACCGTCAGGTTTGCCTAGTCATAAGCTTATTCTGCATGTGGGCACTCCAATTATGTTGTTGCGAAATTCAAAACCGCCAAAACTTTTTAACGGTACGAACTGCAAGTGAAAGCGTTACGAATCCCATTAATACCTAATGATATCCCGTTCGAATTTAAACGATTACAGTTTCCCATAAAAGTCTGCTTTGCCATGACAATAAACAAGTCTCAGGGACAAACTCTNGTACAATAATTATTTCATAATGAGTTTTTAATTACACAAAGTAGGTAACTATTACTAAATTAATATACGTGAATTGTAAAATGTTGTTAAATTTAATATATCAACTGATAAATGATACAAATTATCCAAAATTCAAGGTAATATTCACAGATATTCACGGTCGACCTTGGATTACAGTATGCACGGCAGAGCGCTGTGCGTTTACCGCCCTTTGTCTCAAAAACGATTGACCGCATGAAAAAAAAATCAACAATAATTTATTCTAAATTTCATGCTTTACAATTTTTATGAGAGGTGTTAACATTGGAGCAATAGAAACTGAGATAACCGCGAAAAACTGTTTTTTTTTACCTTTGACCTCCTATAATTTCCGGTATAGACACGAGATTATATGAGACTTTTGAGACAGCTTTCAGAACGCTATACTGAAGGTATATACAAATATTTAGCTCATTACCTCTCATTCCGAGGTTAATCGCTAAATTAACAGGACTATAAACAAATTAGATGATTAGGTATACCTACAGCGGGGAATTTCTCAACTGCATAAAGATCTGGAATTAGATATTGTTGGATATTTTGCTGCTCATTCGAATGCGCCTTTGAAAAATTGAGAGAAAAACCTACCAGTCAAACCCAAAACCGCTCACCGTATTTTCGAAAAGCATAAATGGACAGAAAGATCCACATTTTCTCCATATTTCCTCCACATCATATGGAGTGATTGATGAAACTGAGTTTACCAAAAATGGATTATTTAATCGTCATAATACTCATTTTTGGGCTGATAAAAGTTGGATCTTCAACATTTATTGTGCTTCAAAGCAAAATAGGATTCTGTGTTTGTACATCTATGATGAAAATTCGAATGAGAAGGATACTGTGACATATCGCAAAGTGTTGTGTGTACTGCAGTGAGTGATTTATCAAATGAAGATGCAACAAATATTTGGTACAAACAGGATGGAGCACTTTCTCATAATTTAGAGATCGAAGGCGTATTGCTGAATCAACTATTTTATGATAGGTGGACCCGTACCTTTGACCAGCAAGTTTTCCCGATGTGTCTCCTATTGACTTTTATGTATGGGGACAGGTAAGGAGAATATGATTAAAAAAGTTTCACAAGCATTCAACGCCTTAGATGCCGATGAAATTAGTCGTGCTGTGAATAACATTTCGATGCAATATTTTCGAATTGACTCTTTTTTTATGAAACATTTTGAATAAATATTTTTCAATTCATCATTTATTCACATTATGAATGGACTGACCCCTTACTTGATGGAAATTAATAACAAATTCACATTGTATTATTATTATGTTTTTGAGCGTAAATGGATAGCATGGTGGACATGCGTATGTTTTATTTTTTTTTCAAGAAACATTGGAATATCTCATGAACGGTTGATTATTGATATGGGGAATGTTTAATGAAAATAATCAAAATTATCTCGGAATTTGAAAATCATCTTAGAATTTCATTTGAAAACATTGGGCTTTGGCCCATTTCTACATCTTCGGAATTAGTCATCGATTCCGAACACCTCATTCAACATTTTGGAATTGTTATTCCTACAAGGCGATGAAATGAAGTATTTCGATGAATAAATAATAATATATTTCTTTATTCTATCAAAATTTTGCATTTGATGGGAGAATCACTTGATTCCCCAATTTTTGAATGAACAAAAGAATATCTCGAGAACAGTTCATTTTTCGTATAGAATCATTGCAGGTATTCAAAAATTTAAAAATATACAGAGTGTTACGTTTGGATTTGAAAAGTTGGTAACAAATTCCGGTATAACAGAAAGTGTCAGAATGACTCCATCATGATATGCTCAAGTACAGGTGGAAATAATTCATTCTCGCCTCCCGCCTACGACCCTGTAGCTACATGTGTCAGATATCCGACAAAAAAATGACATTAACTCAGCTAATGCCGCGCAGAAAGCTGAAGTAAAAGCATCAGGCACCTGTGTAACGTTTTCCATTTGAAAAACTGTAGACAAAGTAAGGAACCTACTCCACAAACACATACTCCACCCCCATACTCCCCAGACCTCTTGCCAACTGACTATCATCTTTGTAAGTACTTCGATGTAGAACCTTCGCCAATCGAAACCAAGCAAAAACGTTCATGCTAGTGGAATTGGTCGACGTGTTTCATGTTGACAAAAGGGCATTGATTCGAATGTAGCTCATCTTGATTTTATTGAATAAATACTCACTGAGATATTACTGTTCGAAGTGAACTCATTGAAACTATTGACACAACCTAGTAATTGTTTTAACTTCTAAGGCCTTTGGCCAAATTTCGGTGCTATATGGCTTGTCGGATCACTTTTCAGTTTCCTGAAAGAACTTCCCCTGCAAGTGGCCGCCGATGGATATCTCTTGAATAATTTCACCAACAACGGTGGTGTTCCCCAGGGATCTATATTGCCTTCAACCCTCTTTTAATTGTATCTCAACGACTTATTGAAAAACACCAAAAATCCAATATATTGCTTTCCTGACGACAGCACACTTGTTTCGTCACTCAATTTGGATTTCAGGACATCGGCGGCGGATGCACATCTTCACCAGCAGCAGGAGGTTGCATAGCTCAACGAGCATCTAGAAGTAATTTCAAATTGGGATGGAGAATATCAGGTTCAATTCAATACCACAAAAACCCAGGCATTGGTTTCTCCAAAAAGATAAATGTCTGTGAACTGGATACAATAATGTCAGGTTGAATCATGTCGCTTGAATTGTAAAGGCTGCTTTTCAAAAGCTCGGAACACTGTTCCGAACCAGAAAACTGTACACAGCTCAGCAACTTTTGATTTTTCATTAAGCTCAGATCAGACCTTGGAGCTCCGTCCCTAAGCATACCCAGAAGCTGCTGGATTCCTTTCAGAAAAATGCCATCTACCTGATTGTAGACGCGAACATCACTTGCAACCTTGATAGTCTGCATCATCGAAGAAAAGTTGGAAATTTGTATCTCTTCTATAGATACTTCCACGGAAAGTGTTCAAGTGACTTGGCACATTTGATTCTACCAGGAGCGGTACATATCAGAAATACGTGACGGACTGCGACTGCCCATCGTTTTGAGGTTCAACTCAGCACACCTCGAACTTTCCTGTTCAAGAACTCTTTCATCTAAAGAGTTGCGTTTATGTGGAATGAACTTCCTGAGAACGTTTTTCCAAATGGATTCTATCTCCAACGATTCAAATCCAAGTGAATCACTACTTTTCCACAGGCACTGCTCTAAGAGCACCTTGAGGATTTTCCTGTAGTGCTTGTATTTTGTTTTTGAATAAAACGGTCCCTTCTAAGTAAATACATTTATGAATTTGTGTAATTGTAACACATTCCGATTAAGGCATGTGTTTGAAAGTAAGGGTTCGATTTCTTTTCTGATCGTTTTCGTCCATCGTGTTTTCCAAAACTTCAAACTATAAAAGGAAAAGACAAAAAAAACAAGTTGGTAAACATTATCCGTTTCTCAACAATAACTGATTAAGTATAAAAGATCATATTTGAATTTACCACGATTGACGATTTCAATACGATGGACAGACTCCGTTCTTAGAACATTTCAGGGAGTTTCCTACTATATCTCCTTGAACCAATTTTCAATGCGTATTTTTTCAGATCAGCTCACTGTTTTACATTTTGAAATAACTCAGTATTGATTTGTGGGGTGTTTCAGGTACTTTTGTGGTGAAAATGAGGTTATTCGAATTGTTCAGCAGATTTATTATAATTTTTATGATCTGAAATTATTAGAAAGTTTCAGTCCTCAAGTGATTCTGCTTGGGGAATGAATTGGCGAAGTGGCGAATTCAAAAATTCCGGTATAGAGTGTCTTCCAATAATGAAAAATCAGCAGATGTTTGTGTTTTTCCAAAATACTGTAGCAGGTCCTGGAAACCACTCTGTTTCGTTACAATTTGGCCACGCTTATACTACAGCGTGTCATCTATCAAAAGAAAAAAGTATAAAAAACTATTTCTTATTCATTATAATAACAATTGGTTTCATACTTATCATATTATACCTGAGTTATACAGTGTGTCCGCAAAGTATTTAATAAATTCGATATTTCTAAAATCAAAGATCGTCAAAAACCTGAAACACGTCGATTTTTAATTCAAATATTCTAAATATTTAATTTGAATATTTCACAACAGAATTTCATCATACAGGGTTATCCATATTAATGTGATGACGTCATCGGTAATTTCTTTAAAAGCAACACCCTGTATTTGGTGTCAGTTTTAGATAATCCGTAACAAACTGATTCCGAAAAGGTACGTTATTTGGGGTCTAACGGACATAATTTGAAAGATGTGCGCTTAGAAAATATAAGTAGAAATTAATAAATCATTTTATATTATGATTAATTCAACAATGGGAAAGTAATCCAGTATTAAATACATGACTTTTTTTTAAATGTTCGAACT